AAGCGGGTTCGAAGAGTCCTAACCAACCTTTTCCTTCTCATTCACATAAGACCCATTCATCCCTCCATTCTGTTTGCCTCCCCCTCCTTTCCCTCATCTTCTCTTTCTGGCTACTGCTGTTGACTTATCCATGTCACTGAGCTTCTTAAACTTTTTCACCTAAAGCAGAGGAAAGAGAACATGTTGAATGTGAATGCTTCAAGGACCGGGGTGGGGCCGTGCGGAGGGGAGCTCGTGGGGTCTGCAGTGCCAGATCACAAACTCTTCTCTCAGTGTCTAGTTTATATCTTTAAGTAAAACAGAATTAGGTGATAGAAAAAGAAATTCACATGGATTCCTACATTTTAGTTGATTTTAATCTTGATTTTTAAGGTTAAAAATATTTTTAAATGTTAATATTTTAAATCTTTTTCATGTTATATTTTAAGTAACATTTTATATGTCCATATATATGTATATAAATCTTTATATGTTTATATAAATATGTTTTGTTTATATATATTCTATATAAGCATATATACATAAACAAACATATGAACCTATTACGTAATTTACATATATTTTAATACAATATTTTATGTATGTATATATGTTTTGTTAATATATGATATATATTATACATAAATACCTAAAGGTTGGGTTTTTTTTTTCCTTTGAGTATAGTTCAACTAACCAAGGAAAAAAGAGAGAGGACCCAAATCAATAAAATACAAATGAAAGAGGAGACATTACAACTCCTCTCTGTAGGAGACAGCACAGAAATGCTAAGGAGCATAAGAAACCACTATGAACAACTATATACACAACAAACTGACAACCTAGAAAAAAATGGGCTTTTTTTTACTAAGAAAATTCTTAGTAACATACAACCTACCAATTCTGAATCAGGAAGAAATTAAAGACCTGAAGAGACCAATTACTAGTAAGGAATTTGAATCAGTAATCAAAAATCTCCCAACGAAGAAAAGCCCGGGACAGATAGTTTCACTGGTGAATTTTACCAAACATTTAAAGAAGAATAAACACTAATCCTTCTCAAACTCTTCCAAAAAATCGAAGAGGAAGAGACATCCCCAAACTCATTTTATGAGGTTAGCATTACCCTGACACCAAAGCCAGAAAAAGACATGAAAAGAAAAGGAAACTTCAGGTCAACATCCCCGATGAATACAGATGCGAAAATTCTCAATAAAATCCTAGCAAACCAAATTCAGCAGTAAATTAAAAGGAACATTTACCATGGTCAAGTGGGAGATACCCCTGGGACACATAGATGGTTCAACATATGCAAATCAATAAATGTGATATATCACATTGATAGAATTGAAAGAGAAAAATCATATCATCTCAAGAGACACAGAAAAAACATTTGACAAAATTCAACGTCTGTTCATGATAAAAACTCCTAACAAATGAGGTATAGAAGGAACATACCTCAACTTAATAAAGGCCATATATAAAAGCCCACAGCTAACATCATACTCAGTGATGAAATATTGAAAGCTTTTCTTCTAAGATCAGGAACAAGACATGGGTCCCCACTCTCATCACTCCTATTCAACATAGCACTCAAGTCCTAGCCAGAGCAATCAAGCAATGAAAAGATATAAAAGACATCAAAATTGGAAAGGAAGAAGTAAAATTGCCTATTTGAAGATGACATGATTTTATATATAGAAAATCATAAAGACTTCACCAAGAAACTGTTAGATCTAATCAATGAATTCAGTAAAACTGCAGGATATAAAATTACCATATAGTAGCATTTCTATATACTGACAATGAATTACCTGAAAAAAATCAATCCCATTTACAATAGCATCAAAAAACAATAAAATACTTAGAAATGAATTCAACCAAGGAGGTGAAAAATATACTGAAAACCACAAGACATTGATGAAAGAAATTAAAGACAACACATATAAATGAAAAGGAATCCCGTATTCATGGATGGAAAAATTAATATTGTTAAAATGTCTGTAGTACCCAAAGCCATCTATAGATTCAGTGCAATCCCTATCAAAATTCCAATGGGGTTTTTACAGAAGTAGAATAAAAAAATCGTAGTATCTATATGGCACCACCAAAGACCACAAATAGGCAAAACAATCCTGAGAAAGAAGAACAAAGCAGGAATACATCCTTGTTTCAAGCTATACCACAGAGCTATAGTAATTAAAACAGTATGGTACTCACAGAGGAACGTAGACCAATGGAATAGAATCAAGGGCCCAGAAATAAACCCATACAAATACCATCAAGTAATATTTGACATGGGAGCCAAGAATACTCAATGGAGAAAAGACAGTCTCTTCAATAAATGATGCTGGGAAAATTGGACATTCACATGCAAAAAAATGAAGCTAGACTCCTAGATCTTACAAAAATGAACTCCCCAAAATTAACTCAAAATGGATTAAAGACTTAAATGTACACCAGAAACCATAAAACTCCTAGAAGAAAAGGTAGGAACAAACCTCCTTGACAATGGCCGTGGTAGTGATTTTTTGGATATAATACCTAAAGCACCAGGAACAAAATAAACAAGTAGGACTGCATCAATAAAAAGACAACTAATGAAATGCGAAAAAATATTTGCAAATCATATATCTGATAAGGTGTTATTATACAAAAACGTATAAAACTCATACAACTCAAAAGCAAAAAACAAAAACAACAACAACAGCAAAAAACACCAAATAATCCAGTTGAAAAATGGGTAAAGGACCTGAATAGACGTTTTTTCCAAAGAAGATACATGAAGGCCAACAGGTACACAAAAAGGTGCTCAACATTACTAAACATCAGGGAAATGCAAATCGAAACCATACACACCTGGTAGAATAGACATCATCAAAAAGACAAGAAATACCACATTTTGTCCAGGATGTGGAGAAAAGGGAACCCTTAAACGCTGTTGGTGGAAATGTAAATTGGTGCAGCCACTATGGAAAACGGTTTGGAGGTTCCTCAAAAATTTAAAACTAGAACTACCCTATGATCCAGCAATTCCACTTCTGAGGATTTATCGAAAGGAAACACAAATACTGTGTTGAAGAGCTATCTGCACTCCTATGTTCACCGCAGCATTATTTCCAATAGCCAAGACATGGAAACATCAATGGGTGGATGGATAAAGTTGTGGTATGCACACACACACACACACACACACGAATATTAATTCATCCTTTAAAAAAGAAGGAAATCTGGCCATTTGCTACAACCCGGATAAATCTGGAGGATGTCCTGCTAAGTGAAAGTCAGACAGAATGACAAATACTATACGATCTCAATTATATGTGGAATCAAACCAACCAGTGAACTCATAGAAAAAGAGATCATATTTTGGGTAACCAGAGGCAGGGGGGTGGGGTTTGGGTAATAGGATGAAGGAGGTCAAAAGGCACAAACTTTCAGTTATAAGACAAATAAGCACCAGGCATGTCAAGTGCAACAGGATGGCTGCAGCTAACATTGCTTTACGGTCTAGAGAAAGGTGTTAAGACAGTAAATCCTACAAGTTCTCATCAAAAGGAAAAACCATTTTTTTTCTTCTTTTTTAATCTATAGGACAGTAGAGGTTAACTGAACTTGTGGTGATTATTTCACAAGTCCTTATGCTGTATACCATAAACTTATACAGGGCTGGGGCACCAGGGTGGCTCAGTCGGTTAAGCAACTGCCTCCGGCTCAGATCATGATCCTGGAGTCCCGGGATCGAGTCCCGCATCGGGCTCCTTGCTCCTGCTTCTCCCTCTGGCGCTCCCCCCTCTCATGTGCTCTCTCTCTCTCTCTTTCAAATAAATAAATAAATCTTAAAAAAAAAAACTTACACAGGGCTGTGTACCAATTATATCTCAATAAAACTAGGGGAAAAATAACAGTTCTAATAAAGATGTTTCTAGGAACACTACTTATAAGCCATATACTTTTATTTATATAAATATTTAAGTTTTTTAAATAAAACTCTTGGGGTAAAACTGCTGCCAAGAAGCTCTATCAGATTGTATTTACCCCATAGTTTCATGTCTCCCATGACTGATACTAGAAACCCTCAAGGTTACAAATACCCCATTTTGAGAACAAGAGTAAGTGTAGCAGAGTCTTCTTTTTCTCCTTTGTCTTGCTCCCCTTCCCACTCCTCTGAAATGTCTTCTCCTTTTCATTTGCCTGTTCTATCACCTAAACATTCACACAGGAAAGAAAATTCTCTAGTACTTGAAGACTTACTATTTCCTAATTCCTAGATTTTAAAAAAATGAATGAATAAATAAATATTTTTTCCTCAGGAAATATTTTTTTCATCAGAAGTCATTTGGAAGTATTTTATTGCAGACATGTAAAACGTTTGATCTGGGTCTGACACTGTCCTGGGCCTCATGATTATCACCATTTTGAAGTTAAATTTTCTCATTATGATGGAGAAGTCATCAAGAGATGTTGAAAACTGGATAGCACAAAGTCAAAGCAAATGTTTTGCATGTCTGTGAGAAAGTCACAAATATTTTGCTCACTGTGCCTGAGGTATAGTTACTCAACCCCAGTACAGTTGTTGAGGGGAACATTCCCCCAGAACTCAGTATTTCCAGGCTGTTCATTAAATCCAAGTAGAACCTCCCAACCTTTCACAGGAGGGCCAGGAGATGACTGGTGAGTAGGTAACTGGCTCAATGACCCGCATCTCCACCCACTTCGAAGCCATTGTTTCTTCATGGGCTGAGAGGCTGAAAGGCATCAAGCTCATAAACCATAACCCATATCTTCCTTGCTGTGGGGAGCAGAGCGGACATGTTTTGTCCTCTGGCAGTTTCTTCCTTATTTGCTCCCCTATTACTCTATTTGGGTCTCCTGCCACACATTTTCAGATAGTGTCCATTTGGAAGATACACTGGCGCTTCTGAGATCTGAGCCAGTGAACAGACAGGAGGTTGTTTGAGGATCCCCACTGGTCCGCTAACTGCATCTCTCTCCCCCTCCACTCCCACCTGTTCCCCCAGAAGATGTGCCTTCTTCAAGAGCATCTGGAATCTGTCCGGAAGGAGTTCATCATTTTCAACAGAGAAAAGTAAGTAAGCCCTGGTTCAACAGCAGCCCAGCAGATGATGGAGGAACAGAGCCTTAACAGATTTTTTGAAACATTTTTAAATTTTTTCTCCCATCAAAAATGATACCTAGCCATAATAGAAAAATTGGAAAATTCAGAAGCCTTCCCCCCAACACACACACCCCGTATGAGATTTCAAAAATTGCAATAGGTAAATTAGCTTAGCATCAAGTTTCTGTTTCAGGGAAGGACAGAGGAATGGGACTAAAACAGTTAAAATCAGTGACATGCTTAAGATGGTTTCCTTGGCTCGTGCCACTTTCTAATTGTGGGGCTTAATTCTGTCATTTCAAAGTTTAAATCATTTCTTTTTCTTTTCAACAATAAGCCCTGGTTGTTGTTGTTGTTTTCTTTTTTTCTTTTAAGAGTAAAACGGGACTTAAATAAAAGACCGGCTAATCTAGCCTTGGAACAAACCCAAGACCCACAAGAGGAGAATGACCAGAATAAGGAGTGAAGTCCTCCACATCTTCTGCTTGGGACCTTTCCTGCCACCTCAGGCCAGGAACTTCCTGCCCACCCGTGCCAGGAATTGCTGACTGTAGTTCTCAGCTCTCCACACCTCATACACCCTAGAAAATGTGTATGAACGCCTTGGAGGAGGCAGCATGGCAGAGACCGACAGTCCCGGGTCTCTGGGATCTTGTTTCACCACGAATTAACTACGTGTCCTTGAGCAAGTCACTTCCCCCTGGTGTCTGCTTCGGGTCATTCATCCACGATGAGAGGGTTATACTAGCGGAGCTCTGTTCTCCCTTTCTACTGTTCCCATTCTGTTATTCCACACAGCCTTTCTCTTTATTTTCAAAGGAATATTTAGATGTAGATTTATTTTTCCACTCATCCTAACTACACTGTGACAAATGCGCGGATGGACACTGACGGGTGGGGGATGACTGCGTGAGGCTCTTCAGAGCTAGAGAATTTCAGAAAGAGGTCAGGACGCCCCCATCTGATTGAAGAGGGAGAAGGAATTCAATCCGGAAGCAATGAATGGGAGCGGATTGGAAATAATGCAGATTTCTGGGGCTTCCAGTGGCGTTCTGGTCAGCGCACCCTGTCAGCTCAGGTCAGCCAGCAAGAGCCTGGGGGGCACGTGTTCCCATGGCCCTTGGACAGTGACGTAAAGCTGGGCAGCCGAAACTGGGGATGATCAGTAAATACCGGCAATATTTACACCATGGAAATGGGCAAATGTTTCACATCAGGGCTTTTCAGCTGTGAAGCAGTTATTAGCATACTGCTCACCTTCTTCTAGTAACTACGTTCCTTGAGAGCGAATTGTCCTCGTATCAGAGACCCATGTCTGGAGAGGATCGGAAATTAATATTGTCACATTGAGACCATGTGCCCCTCGTAGTAGTCAAGTTCTCCCTTACTTGTACAGGGATTATAGTCTGAGTAGAATGGGAGGTGAATTTGGAAGAGAGTAAAATTTACACTTGGAAACTCCCTTAAATTACCCAAACCATGGTTGGTATCTTTTCTAGGCGAAGCCCGGTGCAGTGAGCAATGAAACAAATCATCACTTGGGGCTTTGATTTTTGTCTTTTATTTTTGGTCTCATTTTTGGCCGGTATCAGATGAACCAAAATGTGGAACCGATTATATATGCTTTTATAGACTGGAATAACAGAACTTAGGGATGCCGCTCAGATCACCTGAGTCTTGTCCTTACAGACAGGAAGGGCCTTGCCAAGATGGCAGAGAGGAGGCAACAGGGAAGACCAGACAGAGAAAACAGGCCGAAGTAACAGATCCCACACCTGCCACACCAGACATCCGAGGAAGGAAGCAGCACTCGGGCAATTAAACACGGGTAGGAAGCCAATGCTGGATTTTAACTTGGCCTCCAGGATTTTCTCCTCCCTGAGTTAACAGGCCCAGGATTTCTGGCAGAGCTGTGAACAGTGCCTCTCTACTTTAAGAGCAACCATATTTTTGCTAAGAATTAAAACCAGCTCTTTCCTTCTGTTTGATTCTGTTTTTCTACATTTCCCACATATTACTTGCCCATGCTATTTTGCTTTTCTCCAAACGCTATAAACTCGGCACTGGCCCTGACTCTGTTTCTGATTATATATGAAAAGAGCAAGGGGAAGGTGACCCGCTTCTGTTCCAGGTTGGTAAGCCCAGGAGTGTCAGGGATCACTGCATGTTTAGCAACTGGCAACTTTCATGCGTTTTGACTCAAGTCCTGATGCGCTGTGGACGTCTCTCTCCAGTCACCTGGTGTCTCCTCTTGCTGTGACCTTGTGTGTATCATCACAGGGGAAAGACTTCGGCAAACACTTGCCACAGGACAATGGGATCAGGAGGCTCTCCGTGGGGAAGGGAGCCAGCCATCTGTGTCATTTCACATCTGTACAATGTCTAACAGGATGGGAACCCCCTACCGTCTCTGTAGCGGGAACCCCTAGTTTTTATTTCCGGTGAGTTCCTGCTGTGCCCGAGGCACCTCTGTGGACATTCAGGAACCGTGGACACACCAACTAGACAGCACAGCCTCAGAGTGGTAAGATGGATTTTCAGTCCTAATCAGGTTACAGACCCACCATGTGTTTCCAGTTAGAAATGAAAAAGCATTGCATCTAGAGTGCAGAACAACTGATTGTAAGCACCTCCCACCACCACACATTTTAAACATTAGGAGAAAAAGTTTTCCAAAAACCAGAAGGAGGCCTAAATCTGTACCATGATTGCTAGATGTTGGTATCAGATTCTTTGGTTTTATTCCGTAACTTGGGCCCAAAGTTCCTATCCTAACCAGTTGGAACATGTCTCATCAATTAGTAGATGTGTGAAAACCAGGGCTCAGGGCTCAGAATTTTAGAAAACAAGCTGAGTATCGCAGCCCTTTGTCTGGTATTCGTACCATCTTCTTCTAACTGCTTCCTCCCTTACCTGTGTGGAGCATCTGAAAACTCGGAGCAAGACCAGAAGCATCCAGGTTATAATAACTCTGACCCTGCAGCAGAGACCCACCCCCTTGCATTCAGCGGCCCCTCGTGGCTGGGTGGGCACCCGAGCCCTGTAAGCCTGCCCACGCCCCGAACTCCATGGAAGTGAATGCCCCGCTAATGGCAAACACATCTCGAGGGCCGTGCTGGTTTTGGCTGGGGTCATCGCTAGGGCAGCACGGAATGTCCAGCAGCACAAAGCACTGCTAAATGAATTACGGTCATTAATTTGTAGTGAAGCTTCTTGTGATGGGCAAGTTTTAACCGGAAACAACGAGGCCGTAGATCATCATAGCTCCTCTAGATTGGATGGGCAAATACGGATGCTAACAGAGCCGTCAGGAAGCTGGGTTGCTGCTTTTGATGATGCAGTCATGCTAAGGCTTTCGTTCACCAGCTGAACGAAAAGGCGTGCAACCCATCGTGTTTGTTTCAGTAGCCAGTCGTGCCTGCGTTGTCCACACAACATCCTGTTTCCTACTGTCTGCCTGTGATTGCTCTTTCTTACAAGCTCAGTGTGTCTGACTGACGTTGAACACTGATGTTCAAAATCCAAACTGCGGTGATCTGCGCTGTTGTGAGCATGCAGCCACGGGGTGGGAGACACATGCTTCTGTTGATATGTAAATGTGCCTTGGTGTATTAAAATGTCTTCTGTATACCGTAAGCCACTGATCCTTCTTTGTCAGCTGTGTGTCACTGTTTGTCCTAGAGGTAGGGCTGTGGGTGCCCAAAGTCACCTGTTCCTACTTCCATTTCCCACTGTGAGGACCGTCCTTGACCAGGGACAAGCTGGTATTAGAGATGATGTTCTAGAACGGGTGGGATGCAGCACAATTTAACTGACCCACAAATAGAACTAAAAGCCTGCCCCCTTAGCATTCACACCTTAGGGAGCACAGCCCAGAATTCCAGACTTTGCCCTTCACCCTGACCTTGTCCAAGACAGCCCGTGCCCCTCTTCTTCAGCATTGTGCCTTGCTACCCTTCAGCATCTTCGTCCTGCCCCATGCCATACACCAGAACAGCAGGTGGATGCTCCAAACCTGGGACAGGAGGGTCACGGGCAGCTCTGGATCCTTGTAGCTGGAAGCAACTTCCTTTTAGGCCCGCAGCAGCTTAGCAGCCAGTAGGCCAGCTGGTTCCCTGGGCTTATCCTGAAGTCAGTAGGCTCTTGTAAGTCCTGCGGGCTCTGAAGTCCTAAATGCTGAGTGCCCTATTGTCCAGGCCATGTCAGGCACCCTGCTTTGTTCCCAGTAGCCAACTGAGCGCACAGCAAGATCTAGAACTCCTGGTTCTGAAGAGTGACAGCCTGAAGTATGTGATCTCATTTTTGTCACCTGCTTTGGCCTTTACATCCCCCATTTCCTACTCATGGTTGGTGTCCCTTTTGTGATGGCTTGATGGGAGCAGAGCCGATTCCAGAAAGTTCTTTGAAACCAGAGACCTTTTTATGCCTGCAGTACTCTCATCCCCCACCTGGTCAGGTGTGACTCAGTCCCGAACAGCTCTAGCCCCCCAGTGGGGTGAAAGTCTCTATGTCTGTTTCACCAACATTTTTTTTTTTTAAACACGGCTTCATCTCTTGCAAACCCTGCAACCTGAGTTCACTTCAGTTAAGCTTTGCCCATGCCCTTTAAACCCACCCTAATCCTAAGGAGAGCTCAGTTGCTGCCCTGGTCATGAGCTGGGACAGGTATTTCACCAACCCTGAGTTCAAGCTGCAAACTGAGACTATGGGTCAAACCTTGAACCTCAAACTGAAATAATCATGTGCTGAGAGTAGCTTTTGATGTTCTCTAAGCTTGGTGTCAAAAGCTATCATCACTCTATGCCCCTGTACTAGACAGCAACGTTCCACAGAAGCAAGAAGGGTTCATGACACATACAAGCAATTAGTAAGAAAACAGCATCTTCTGATCCCCATCTCCAACTGCTCCAACCTACACACAGGCTCTTCACTGAGCAAAACACTCAGGCCCCGCAGGCTTGAGAAAGGTACCAT